CCATCATCATCACAATCATCATCATTGGCATCCCGACATCACCATTTTGGGGCCTGGGTGCGTGGTAATCTAAGGATGATGATACTCCCCAAACTAAACTAAATCAAAACCGAAATCGAATCGAATTTATTGTCATCTCCATTTTGCGCCTCAGATTATGCCACAGATTCCGTCCTCGGGTTTCAATTTCGGTGTGAACTTTCGCTCTTGGGTTCACAGCAACTTGGAGTTGTTTTTTCGCCTTTTTAGATGCTCAGTAATTTCGGCTTCAAAGGGTATATTGTGTTATTAATGATCAAAAAAACAAAATATAAATGCTGAATTACCAATAATTCTTAATCTTTAAAAATATATTTTGTTTATGTTTAATAAATTAAAATATATAAATAAAAAAATGCCATCGTAGTGCAGTATAAGGAAATTAGTTAATTTAATTATTACAAATTTACCATACATATAAGTTCTTATTCCAAAAATCTAAAAATACTCTTTTGATTCGTTATTGTTTAGTTTATGAAGTCAGCTTGTTAGCCCCTTAAAGTAGGCCATAAGCTATTTCTAGCTTTTAAAGGATATCCCAAGGTCGACTACAAATCAGTTATTGCTACGGATGATGATTTCGCTTGGCCTGAAGCTACAGGTTATGATGATTGCTGCTGCTCTGTATTTTGTGCTCTGTGCTTTGGCATTTTGTCTGCGTTTTGTTTCAGATATTCGCCCTCGCAATTTCTGCTGATTGTTGTGTTTTGGAGCAGCTGCAATCAAAAATACATCATCGGCGGAGGAGAAGTCCTCCTCTGTCCCAAGTTTTAGCCATCGATTGTTCTGTGCTTTAGTGGCAAACTGATGCTGACATGTCGGCTTACCCCAAAATACTTCACTTTCTCCAGCAATTAGTCGGGATCAAAGTTAAGTTGCATGTTGCATGCGATTGGGAAAATTAAATTTTCCACCTAATTGTTTCGCAGGGAGGTGTTCGTGCGTTTGGCTTTCCCAGCATTTCCTCCCCAGCTTTTCCCACTGACAGGTTGAGAAAACCAAGTGTGTGAGTGGGTGGCATGTAGAAGCCGCGACTTCAACTGCCAGCTAGTTGGTTTTCCCGACTTTTCCTGCAGCTGGCATTTGCTCCGAATGCCCAGACAGAATCGCTGAAGCTGACAGCGGCAACCCAAATGCCCCACCCATCCACCGCCCACAAACCCCCTATTTTACCACCCCCTCAACGACCTCCTGCAGTGCGTGTGTGTGTGTGTGGGCGTTGCATTGATTTTATGGGCTTGCACATTTCATCATCACAACTTTTTGTTGCGTCTTCTGATTGCGGCTTACAATGCGTCAGATGCAATCATTTTGTTGCCTGTCTGGTTGCGGTTTTGTGCTGTGGCCACTGCAGCCAGCAAATGCATCATTCTGAAAGGGCAGGTATATAAATTACCAAGCGCTTAAATTAGTTTACCTATAATTATGTTTGCTTTTTCAACCTGATTTTATAATTACAGCATAAATTTAACAATAAGCATTTGTATTTTTTATGATTTTGCTTTACAAAATTCTTAAAGAAAATATTTATAAACTTACATTTATATATATATATTATTTTGTTTTAATTTGTAAGTAAAAGAATAGACATTCTAAGGACGTTATTTACATTTCATTTTTAAAACCACTTGCGTTTAATTTTTTAAATATTTTTAAAGAAAAATAATAGGTTTCAACCTGATTTAAATTAATTTTTTGCATTCAAATTACAAATTAAATTATTTAGCTAAAACATGGCACTAAAAGAAATTTTTTTTTAATTTGTTTTATTGCTTTGCCTGTAAACAAATCTAGCAAATTAAGTTGTCAATGTCCCACTTTCATAGTTATTTGCTCTTTTTCTCTACTTTGACCTGACATATTCGACTCGATTTGTGATGCAAAAAAAAAATGGAAAATGGAATATTCAAAATAATAGAAGAACAAAGAAGGGCAAATTTGGTTTTGATAGAAAGTCATGTCAAAAACAATGTCCCAACTATTGTGTGTCATCCTTTTTTTACCGAGGATGCCGAGAGGCAGAGGGGCACTTGAAAATTGCTCCACAGACCCGTTGAGTTCAAGTTGACCCTCATCAAAAGCTAACTAAAAACTTTTCTTTTTACTTTAGTTTTTGTTCCGATTCCCATCCTATCGTACCCCCGCATAGATATATCTATGATGCTATATGTATGTATGTACGACTATCTCCGTGTGTGTACGATTTTGTTGTTTTTGTCTCTTGGCCAAAGTGGAAAATAAATGGTTCCACAGGATGACCATTTGCGTGGTGTGCATGTACGTATGTGTGCAGTTACAGTTGGGGGTCAAATTTAATAACATAGTTACATTTTGCAAATGTTTTCCAACTTAAAAATACAAATAAACAGAAAAAAATAAGAAATTTAATATGGCTATTTATAGCGTATTAAATATACATTTATAAAAACATTTTTAAAAATGCATATGTAAATGAAAATAAAATAATTATCTAAAAATTTATTTATATTCATAAAATCAATGAAGAATTCCCTTATTTGTTATTATTTTTTTTTTTTAATGCTTATTTAATGAGACTATTGCTAGTACTCTGCCCTCTGTTAAACGTGTCGTATATGTTCGTATAAGCGTCTATCCTACCGTGTATGGTCAAAAAGTTGAAAGCCGAGCGTCACTTTTTGCACAATCCGAAACAATAACAACAAAAACAACATCTGTGGCCAAAACAAAAGTCAAAAGGAAAGTCCAAACAAAAAATCCAATAGAAATTTAAACAGTTTGACGCATTAAATACTCATTGGGCAAGTTGCCGACTTGGATTTTGGCACTAGGGTGGGTTTTTGGTTATTTTTTTTTTTGTGTAGAGAAAAGGGGTGTTATACCAAAACCCACTAACGACTGGGGGAACAATTTTGTGACATACCAAATGGAGCTGGTTATGGTTTTGTGTACAAAATAGTCACGTTCCTAAGTTGTGCAATATTTGCCTATAAAATTTAATTGCATCAGAACTGATATTAAAAAAAAAGAGAATAATTTTAAGGGTTAGCGTAGAAGGTTTTTAATTAAAAGTTTTATGCATTTTTGTAAAAACAAATGCTAGCCCAACGAGTTTTATTTCCAACATAGAATTGAGCCAAACTTGTAAGTCTGTATCTTCAATAAATATTTATAAGTTCAACCTTTTTCCTTATCTTATTGTGAGAAAATTTGGCCATCGACACTTGACCGCCCACTCCTTCTGCTCAACTAATACCCACAAATCTGTTGAATGTCAAGGGGCTCAGGTGGTTAAACTTGAATCCCTCGAATCCATATTTAATTATGGAATTGCAGGCCTTCTCAGGGCATTTAACCCCTTTCCTGACTGCCTAGACTTAATTAGGATTCCGTGCTCATCCCGATCATAGTCATAGTCATCATAATCATCGCAGTTCTGTGTTTTGGGCGGGCGGTGTCAGAAGTGCCACTTCATCAGTCAGTATCGAGGCTACCACAAGACCACAGCCACGGGGAGTTATACGCGCCAACTGTTTTCCAACTTCTCGCCCAACCATACACTACAAAAATATTGATAGGACTTTACTTTTACCTAACAAGGTACAATAAATAATTGAACAGTTTGAAAAATATTTATTTAGTAAATAGTTTGATAGTTGAAAATTCTTGTATGTTTTTTTTATTGCGAGTATATTTGTTTGAATAACAACTATAACATTAAATTCATAAAGAACACAAAAAAACTTTGCTACATATAATTCTTCAATATTTAATTCTAAAAAAATGGCATGGTATGATATAATATAAAAGATAATTTTATATTTTAGGCATTTAATGTATAACCCCATTTTGTTTTATGTGCAGTTTATTAAAGGGGTGCCCAGTGATGGGTACCAGTCGTTTATGTTTCTGGGATTTTCGGCATGGCAGGGGAGGAGTTTGTGTGTGTTTTGGGGCTACTCCCCATTGTTTGCACTCCCGACTGACGAGGGCCCAAAGGCGATCCGCAGATTTCGTGGGACGTGTGTGTGTTTGGGTCTGTCGGTCTGTGGGTCTATGGGGTTTTCGGTGGATTTACTCGAGGGCATCTGCTCGGCTTAGCGCTAAAATGTGTGCCTACCTGGGACTAACTGGGCCCCCTGCACACCTGTCATATTCTGGTAGCCATGCATGCATGTGTGTGTGTGTATGTATATGCTGCTGATGGAATTTTAATTAAATACTCGGGTGTCTATGTTAATTTATATGCGCATATGCTTAGCCAGCCAGCCAACCAGGCAGCCAGCCAGCCAGTCTGTGTCTGAACCTGGTCCTGGTCCTGGGCCTGGCCAATTCCATTTTCCGTTTTGTGTTTTGCGTTTTCCACATTGATATGACGACGATGGGAACGAGAATGAGGACTCACCTTTGAAGTGGCTGCGCATGTTTGTGATTAAGAGCTTTTTGGGGCCCACGCGTCCTGCTTCCTTAACTCAGTTTCATTGTTTAAAATTTAATTATAATTTAATGCTTAGTAAGCACCATTTCTCGCTTGAAGTTCTTCGTCATTTTCCCCCTTTTCTGGTTGCTGCGGTTTGGTTTTCCACTTGATATTATCACGTCGCCGTCTGTCTGTCTGTCTGACTGACTCACCCACTCAAAATTAAGGACCTTTGGCTTTGTCTATATACCTCTGTTTTCGATTCCCTTCAAGTTCCTTGGTTTCATCGGGCCTTTGTCTGCATTCTCTGTTCCCGTCACCAGGCTCCCTTTTGAAGATGAAACCCAAAATAACTTGATATGGAATTAATTCGCCGCGTTGGCTTGGCTTTCTGGAATTTGCGGCGGCAACAGATTGGCATTTTCACATCAAGCTGGCTTAACTAATTGTGGTTCAAAGGAATGCGCTTAAAGTTATCGAATTCGTTCCATTCATTTGTGCAATATCATTATAACATATTTTCAGTAGGTTTACCAAAATTGAAAAGAAAAACGCTTTAAACTTAATTCAATGATTATAAATTTATTTTTAAAAAATATATTGGCATTGCTGTCAATCATTTGATAATCTCTCTCTGCTATCTACAATTTATTTAAGCCTATGTATATCCTTAACAAGTGTATCTATTGGTTTCTCATTCATTGGTGTCCAAATGCAGATTCATCTTGGCCAGATTGGCTCTGCTGATGGCATGTCCTGGCTGCAGTTCCAAGGCTCGGTGATAGCATTCCACAGCATCCTTTCGAAGGCCACGCATCTGCAGGATGGCTCCCAAATTGGCATGAGCATGAGCTGCCAGCGGTTGCAGAGTAACTGCCTTTCTATACCACAGCTCCGCTTCGGCCAGGCGGTTTAGGAGACGCAGTGCATCCGCTACACAGGATTGCAGGGTGTAATCGTGGGGCGCCAAGGCAGCGGCTCGCAAACGAAGGCTGAGTGCCTCATGATGGCGATCCTGTTGCTCTAGAAAATCAGCTGAAATGGTATAAATATATCAGTAAAGTAATAAGTAATTGAAAAAAAAAGTTTGAATTTTAGAAAAAGCACTGGAAATTTATAAAATGATTTAAAGTACTGAATTGAAGTTTTAACTATCATACAATGAAGCAATCGCTAAAAATCAATAATATAAACATCAATCAATCAATATTTCATAATGAAATAGTTGTTTAAAGTATATTGAATCAATAATAAACCGAATAGTTCCTGTCTTGAATATATTAAATTAATTGTAACTAAGATCTTAAAACTAAGATCTATCAATATTTTTAATTAGTTTACTATTCTTACCATAATGGTGATGGGAACTGACCTCCAGAGGCGCCAGCTGCAGGGCTCTTTTGAACCAGGACTCGGCCTCAGCCAGGCGACTGCCCTGTGGGTTCAATAAAATATTATTAAATTTTTATTTAGTTTACAGTTTCGCAACTTACATTTCTAGCCAGTGTTTGGCCATGGGTCACGTAGACTGCTCCTTGTTCCGGCTGGAGTTCCAGGGCCAATCTCTGCTGATGCTCGGCCTCATCCCAATCCTGCAGCTCCGCATGGATTTCCCCGAGACGCAGGTGCAGCACTGCCCTCTGCTTTTGAGGCAGCAAAGCCAGAGCTTTTAGGGATTCGTCCAGAATCGATGCAGCTTCCTGCAGTCTTCCTTCGGAGCGGTAAAGGCCACTCAGTTGCAGGTAGCAGGTGCAGCGAGCCTCCTCGTGGGCCCCTCGATCCCGCACCCCATGTCCCTCCATACGAGCTCCAATCCGCAGCACCGAGATGGCTTCTTGGCGGTGGTCGCCCAGGGACATCAGGGAAATGCCCAGATTCAAATATGCCACCGCCAGTTGGGGACGCAGTTCGATGGCCCTGCGATAGCATGGCACAGCTGAGCTGAAGTTTAGTTGCTTCTGGTGCACCACGCCCCTGAATTTAGAAAAAAAAAATATTTAAAATTTATAATTATATAATATTTATACTAATAATATTTTTCAGTAAGAATAGTAAGCCAATTGGCATTCTAAAATAGTTATTTTTAAAGTTATTTTAATAAAACCTTGGAATGAAATAATTATTTATTATATATAATTTGTATTTGGATTATGCTTAGAACAAATCTTGCACAAAAGACCAAATATTTTCAAATTTAAAGCACAAAACGTATTTCACTAATTTGATTTTATTTCAAACTAATTAAAAGCACTAAAACAATAAATCCTTTGTTCTCCTGTCAATTCTGAATCCTTCTTTGACCATTCAAATATTAAATTTCTACCCAAAGCTACTTAAATAATAAGTTTTGCACAATTGAAAACCAGCCATTCTTTGAGTTTTTTTTGCAGGCAAACAATGCACTCGGATTTCCAAGGAAATTCACTTTTGGGAACATCCTTCATAGTTCTTTGCCTTTCATTCAAGAGGAATCATGGCGAAAAATTGTTTAAAAAAATATGCAAAACGTGAAAAGAAAATCTGGGAAAGCGAAGTTACTTAGCTTGACGGGCTGCAGCTTCAAAAAAAATTGTTTTGGAAGTAAATTAACTTTGCGTTTGCTTTGCTACGTTTTCACGGGTTAATTGCAAAATGCTGACCTTCAAGTTGATTTTGGCCAGCGGACAGCATTCAGCCAACTCTTTGTATATTTTCCCAGTTAACAAACAAATATACCGCACATATGCATATATCAGTTGTCGTCTGGTGGTTATCCATACATGCACGAATGTCTGTCTCCCAATATAAACACAAAGTTTCGCCGGATCGTATGCATGGATAAGTGATTCTAAATAAAGGCAGCGTTTTGTTTGCAGCACTCCAAAAGAATGTAACGTTGCAAAACATTGCAGAATAAACCCAAACCCAGATTGCTCCTGAAAACCAGCCACATCTGCAGTAGCAACGAAATAATTCAAACAAAACGGCGCGCTAGCTCTGAAATTTGTGTTGAGTAGCGACAAGGCTATAAAATCAACAAGAGGGCCGATTGTAAAGACTTTGGATTTTGACGAAAAGCAGCTTAAATCTTGACTTATATGCGACAAATAAAATACATGTTTGCATTAGTGTGCTTGAGAATTTTAAATCTGGAAAAGGAATAAATGCAAATTTTACAAATTTACCATAATTTTGCAGCAATGTATATTTGAGTTACTGCTTAGTAAAAAATCTTGGAAAATTCTGTTTGTGGTGTAAGGTCTTGAAACTTTCATATATATATATATATATAGTATTATTATTATTATGTATTTGACTGGCTGTTGAACATACAAATATCTAATAATAAAAACTCTTTTGAATGTTTTTTTCGACTAGATAAAACAGATGCGGAAACCTTATTGAAGAAACAGACAAATTTGCATTGTTATCCTCAGATGACTTTTAATATAGAAACATTTTTTTAAGCCACCCCAATTTTTATACAACCAATTTGCATATCGAACCCTTTGGCCTCACCGATTAGCTTTTCCACCAGATACTAGACTTTGGAGTGGGTGTGTGCAAACTTTTCAATAAACACTCGCATATGCCGCCGCATGCAGGACTGAATTTGTTTAAATTTTATTTTCGAATGAGCAGACATTCCTTGTTGAAAATCCCAATCCCTCGTTGCCCACAATTTCATTCCCGATTTTTCCCCACATTTGTATGCTGCTGCAGTTGGGGTTGCAAAAAAAAAGAAAAAAATCAGGAAAAAGAGGTGCATGTATATAAAACAACCAACAAATGGAGCCAAGTGAATGCATGCGAATTGCAGCCAAACAACGCATGGATTTGCTCAACTGAATATTGAGTATTCTATTTTATACTATTCCATTCGTGCCAAAAGAAATACAAACTATGTTGTTTTATTTATTTTTTGTTTTTTTTCTTTGTGCAGGTAAGCAAACAGCAAGTGAAAGAAAATAAAACGAGCAGAAGGAGTGAAAACGAGAAATCGAATTATACAGCTCAGTGATTTTTTGGTTTTGGTGTTTGGCTGCCTGTTACTTTGACTTTCCATCACAACCACCCATTACCCCAGCACCCAGCACCCATCACACAGCACCCATCATCCAGCACTCAACTTATCCTTTTGCTGTGGCATTTTGCAGCTAAAAATCAGAGCAGACTCGCTCGCTCGGCACAGCAGTAGGTACAACAAATCCCTGACAGTTGACTGGCGCAGCAGAAACGGCAGCAACTAGAAGCAACTAAAAGTAGCAAGGAGCAACAGGATCCATCCTTGGATGGATGCTTTATGTTCCGGGCTGGGTGGCATGGTGGCACGTGGCGGGATCTGAAAATCCGCAGCCGCAGGGCACAAGGTGCCGGCTAGAGATATCCCGGCTATTGATGGCTTACGAGTAAATAATGTACAAACAGCTGCTTATCCGCGACGCACTGCCACCCCGCACACTTCCTTCTTTGGCTGCTTTTTTGGGGTTGAAGGGCACGGGCATGAAGGGTCGGGCACCCACCCACCTGGCATTGATTTTCGATTAGAAAACGGAAAATGCTGCCACACCACCAACACCGCCCAGCCATCAAAATTTCACAGCTTGGCAAGTCCTTAAAGCTTTCATTATGTAAATGTTTCAATATCAACTTCTGACTTTTAGATTAGTTGGGGCACACTCTAGGGAGAAACTAAAAACATGTAGCAGGTATACACATTTTTAATAATGAAGTTTTGAAATAGTTTATATTTCTTAATAAATTTAAAGTATGATGTTGTATGAGCTATAAAACCATAAAGATTATTTAAGATTTGCTTACAAATTTGCTTAACACATTAAATGTAATAAAATTTTAAATACATTTAATATTTTCGAAATTTGTATTTGACTTCTAATATGATGTTATGACCTGTAAGAATTTAAAGATTTTTCATAACTTGTTAAGCATATTAAATGAAATACAAATTTTGAAATAAATGATACTTAATCAAGGTAAGGTTTTATATATTAAAACCGTAAAGGTTTTTTAAGATCGAAAACTTTCTAATTTTTTTTAAGAGCATTACATGTAAATAAAGTACTAAAATATCAAATATTTTTTAAATTTTTAATTTAATTTTAAGTAAACTACAAAATGGTTATAAACGATAAAGATATAGAATGCAATTTTCTTGTGAATTATTTTAACAATGCCTTTTTTTAATTTTAAAATTAGAATTTTGCCTAGTGTAACTAAGTCAGAGGCCATGGAAAAGAGGCTGTTTCCCATTGCAATCTGGAAGTGGACAAGGCAAAAATTCAATCAGACAACTTTTCGATAAGCTGCAAAGGCGAAGGCAACGCAGGCCGTTGGATTGGAGGGAAAGTGGGCTAGAAAAGCATTTTAAACTTTCACGGCACTAAAATAAAATCTCTGGCCGGGCTTCCCACCACTTTGGACTTGGTCAGAGGCCAATGTGCCAGCGGCTAGGGATCGGGACTCGGCACTCCGCGCTTCGCACTCCGGATTTCAGAGTCACTCACCCACTGAGCCGGCCATCGTCTCGTGTATCGTTTTGAGCCAAGTTAATAACCTGCAGGCGAGCGAAGCCTTAGCAGTTATGAAGTTCGCGCTTTGCTTTTATGTCATTGACATTATATGAAATTTTATCTAAGCCGTCAACAGTTGTATTTCCTTTCAGCTCTTCGCTAGGCTTTTTCGTATTTTTACAAGGGACTTTCCGGAGGATTATAAAGGATTTGTAAGAAGCTTGTAAAAAGGTTTTAATAATATTAAGAAGTTAAATTAAATTAAATTTTAAAGAAATTTATTTTAAAGAAAAAAGAAAATGGCTTAAAATATATCATTTTAAGAGCTGGTCATTAATAATACATACGACTTTTTAAAATTATTAGTGTAAAATTGATAAAATATATAAAAAACTATTACATAATATAACAGTCAGGTTTTATCGCATTAAAACGAATTCATATTGGGTTCTTTATAACTTTTAAAGCTTCTTTAATAATCTGTTGGTTTTCAATTCAACAGTTTCCTGTTTTATTCTTCTATTTGCGGCAATACATTTATTTTTCACGTTTCATCGAGCAATAAATAAAATCCATTTTATAATCCTCATTCACTTATTGTTAGAAAATTGAGAGAGCCGTAAAAATATACACTTCCCAATGGCCAAATAAAAAAAAATCTTGTTAAAAATAATCGTCAATATTAGCATTAATGTTACAGTCTCCCATAAGCTGATAATCCCCTCGTATATAAACACATCCCCACAAATCATAAGCAGTTTAAAGAGGCTTTTTGTGAGTCATCACGAGTAAAACAAAACGCTCTGGTTAAATATTTATTTAAATGAGGAAAAACGAAAGAATTACTGCATATTGGGCTTCCATGGAAACAAAGCGCTTAATGCACTCACGGGGTTAACTGCTCCCCGAATGTTTTCCCCTGCCCAGTTTACCATAGTTTTAGCATTCACTTTTCCGGAATGAAGGCAATTCGGCGGAGAACGATTACGGCATTCATGAATGAGGTAGCTCGAGATTCCGTATCCCCAGCTGCTGCCATTGTCCGTGGATCTCGGGAGTTCTCAGCAATTATTTGTATTGGGCTCCACTACAGCAGTGTTTTATTCTTCCTACCCGCCCCCCAGAGGGAAAAGCTGGAAAAATGACTTGGCAAGCGAGTGAAAAGGGATTTACCTACAATTTGCCAAAGAAGCAAAGCGAAAGGATTTATTTCGTGCGTCTTTTGCTCTCCTTTTTTGGAGCGTAAAGCCTATTATGTCAAACACAATAATCAACAACAAGCGGCAAGGCGACAGCAGCACCAGCAGCACCAGAGGCAGCAACAATAGTGACAACAGGGCGTATGAGCAACGGCTGCTTGCGAGTCCCTGCAAGGACATGAGGCGATTGGGGCGAGCGTGTGAGAAGCTCGAGCGGCCACCAGTGGAAATGACGTCCTGCATATTCAAAAGGAGTGCAGCAGTCTGGACTCCAAGTCAACAGTGGTTGGGATGGGGGAAAATTAGGAAAAGTTATTTTGAAACTAATAAAATTTCTATTATTCAGTTAATTAAGCTTAAAAATAACTATCTACATACCTTTCTTTTTTTTAACTCATAACTCTGGGGAATTTATCAAAAATTCATGAAGAAGAATTGTTAATTTTGACAAATTCCTAAAGGTTTTTATATTTGTTGTCAGCTTTTCTATCGGAAACTTTATCCCTTTAATAAAAGTCATCATTGATTGCAATATTAATTGAATTCCCCATTATCGTGCCATGTTTTTTGACAAGCACTTCCGCTTTTCTGCCCAGGGTGCCTTTCGATGCGACGTCGAAGGCTATTCGTTAAGCGTTGGCATGTTTGCGCTTCTCTCGTAATGCATACCACTGCCCTGGGTTTCTCCAACTCCATCTCCTTCCCTATTTGCCCAAATCACAGGGGAAAATGGGGAGTTTAAGGAGTTTCAGGAGGAGGAGAAGGAGGCGGACACAGTCTGGTCCCAGCGTTCTCAGTTGGCGGTCGCCGTTAGCGTCGATGCAACTGGGTAAATTGCACTATGACTATCCAAAGCTGGTTCTCGAGTGTGCCTGCTATATGTCCAATGTGGAGTAGTGTCATTGGCCCCGGAAAATGGGGAAAATCGTGGGAAAAGGAGGAGGAGGGGGATAAGCAGGATGCCGACGTCATGCGTCAGCAGTTTTATTTTCTCATATTGTTGCATCAAGTGCAGCTTGTAAGCAGAAATGCCAATTTCTCTTTTGTTGTTACTATTTTTCCATCCTCATTTCCATTCCCTTTTCCATTCCCATTCCCATAGCAATAGCAGATATGTTATTGTTGATATGCTTGTATAGGACATTATACATGTCGGAGCTTTTGTTTATTTATTGTGTTAGACAAGCGAAATGGTTTCGCAATAGCGAAGAATGCAATTGTCGCAGCTGCTGTTTTATTGCATTTATGTACGCTTGATGTACGTGTTGGACTTTGTCGGGAATAGATCGCAGACAAAATAGATTACATAAATCTGCTTATAAACTAGGAGGTCTAACTGGAAAATATATAGGTTAAAGGATTTTTTGTAAAGCATTACATAAAACTTTCTAAAAGTCATTCGTTTTATCAAAATTATAAAAGGAAATATATAATATCGTTGATATTATATCGTTATAATATCTTTAAGTTATAGAAATAAGAAAAAAAAACTATTTAATAATTATGTAAACAGTAAGTTGCTATAAAAATGTGTATATTCATCTGTTTTTTTTTTTTTTTGATTATCTTGTATGCAAATATTTAAGATTGCAGTTAGACAATCTAAACATCTATGAAGCCAGTGCCCCCAATCCAAATTACAACTCCATGTGTACTTAGCAACCGAGCAGCAATTCCGAGTATCTCGAAGAATCTGAGTTACACTCGAAAACCCATTCAGTTTTGGCCTAATTAACAGCATATCTCCAGGGGATTAGGGTGCGCAATGGTTCTTGCATTCATTTCAGTCGCATTGTTTCAAAGGTTCCGGTTGCCCCTATACAAAGGTACAAAAGGAGAACACACAGTACAGGCAGTAACAAAAATAAACGAATAAGGGCAAAAGGGGGCGTGGCTATGGGCGATGGGTGGTGGAGTAGTTGAGCGGTGGATCGGGTAAAAAACTGAAACCAGCAGCTATTTGCTGTTGATGGCTGCCGAGTGCATGCAAATTGCCACCCAAGAGATGCAAAACATGTGCCCCCCTGCGTTCGAGCTAAAGTTTCTGACCGAGTTGATTTGTATGCGCGATGCATCTGGGCAGACTTCACCACCCAACTACCAACCCACCAACCCACTTGCTCCTTTTTTGTGTCGCTTTTTTCTCAAATGTTGTCCGAACGTTTTTGCCGGCAAACGGAAGAGCGAACAGAGGCGCAACTACAGAAGCATCTGCCTTTCGCCATTAAGAGTAACTACCCAATCTACCCACCGGTGAGCCACCGCTGCACCACTGCACCACCACCCAAATGCCCAAGGTCGCGACAGCCATTCACTTTGAGCTTTTGAATTTTGAAAAGGCTGCCAGCAAAAACTGACATCGTTTTGTGGATTCAGGTTTCATGTGGCGCGGCTTAGGCGCGAGTTTCGTTTTCGTATTGCCAAGGGTTTTTGGTGGCCACCACATGCTCCGTAACGCGGCTACTCGGTAACGTTTACTCACAGATTAAAGTGCGCATCGGCCATTGAGGGTCGATGTCCAAGGGCCAGCCTCAGAGCCACTTCGGCCTCCTCGTATTTTCCCTGGGCACTCAGAACACTGCCCAGATTGGCCAACGCTGGAATGTAAAATAAATTGTTGTTATTAAAGTATAACACAACTTTTACTCAAGTTATTAGCAAAATATCTTAAAATAGCTTTCATAAATAACTATTTTTGTTTAAAAATGTTCTTGAAACTACATTTTAATGGCATACAAACGTACAAAAACAATTGTTATAAGTATTGAATTAAAATAAGTACTAACCCTTTGGTGGATTCACGCTGATGGCACTGCGAAATAGCTGCTCCTCATCCCGCCAATCCAAGTTGCGTCTGAAGGTGCGAATTCCATGGACGCCCAGGAGTAGCCCCAATCCGCAGAGAACCATCACCCTGGATCGCCTGGAGCCTTGGATCCTCCCCCAGAGACTGCCGAAACCGAGGCCAAAGAGCAGACAGTAGCCCACACTGGGCAGATAGAGCACCCTTTCGGCCATTACGAATCCCACGTAGAAGAGCAGATTGCTGGCGGGCAGAAATGGCAAGACCAGAAATGCGATGGCCATCAGGGGAGCTGGCCAAAAGGAGCTTTTCGGGGAAGTGGAGTACGGGGAACGATAGCTGATAGTTTGGGATAGCTGGTGGTGGCAATCGCAGGTGAGGCCCAGCCAGTTGTGGCAGCTATTGCCACCCAATCGCCTCAAAAGCGGCAGCGAAATGTTCGCCATCTCCGCAAAATCCATCGTGGTGGCTGAATGGCGCAGGCCGGAGCTTCTCCACAGCACACCAAATAGCGATCCATAGAAGCCAATGCTCAGGATGTTTCTGGCATCCCAAAGCGTTCTGATCCGCGGCACTGCCTCCATGCCCCAGTCGAAACTCAGCTCCTGTGGCCAAAGGAGCAGTCGCAAGTTGGCAACCGGCAGGTACAGAAAAGTGAGTGTCCTTGTCCAAAAGCACGGTTCATGGGCCGTCGGATTGTCGGCGGACGAAAAGGAGGCGGAGGGGCGTGGCAGAAGACTAAGGCGGCAGTAGAGGGCACACAGTAGGGTAACACCCAGAATGGAGAGCGAACGAATGCGGCGCTAAAATTAAAAAAAAAACAAGTTTTTAAGTTGTAAACTTTTTACTTTTTAAATTTGATAAAAACAAATATTAAATTATATAATTGTTATTATTTAACTATTTGTTTATATTTTATAGTTACGTTGAACTTGGTTTAAATTAAAATTAAAATTGCAGATATTAAAATGCTTTCCGAAACAAAAGTTAAATTTAATATTGAACAAGATTTCTATTTTTCATAAAACTTGAACCCACTGGCATGGAGCTTAATACGTTCTTGTATAAGATCAGCTAGAACTTTTGAAACTAGCTTTTTAAAGTGATTGTGTCTTTCTTTATTCAAGAATGTTATTTTCCAATTTAAGGATTTTATTTCTCTATTAAAATAAGCTGCTTATAAGGCCCTCTACTCACCTTATCACTATTGGCTTGTCCAACTGCGTAGAGCACATCGCACAGTCCGCAGAGGAGCAGCGCCGTAATGGCCGTCTCCTTGCAGAGAAGTGCTGCCATCGCCAGGATAATGGTGAGAATTAGAGATCCCCATTCCCGATTCAGCATGTGACGGCGGTAGGTGAGGTAGGCAAGAAGGTAACAAACACAGGCGGCCAAATCGGCCCTGCCCACCAATCCAGCCACCGCCTCCGAGTGGGCGGGATGGGCGGCGAAGAGGGCGCCTGCGGCCATGACTCCCACTCGAGTGGGCAGCAGCGTTCGCCCCACCAGGATCACCAGCCACGTGGCCAGACAGTGGAGCAACACGTTGACCAGGTGATAGCCCATGGCCGTCAGTCCGCCCGCCAGGAAATTCAGCCGGAAGCTGAGAACGCACAGTGGTCGCCAGGAGCCGTGGGATCCACTGTCCACCAGCTGGGTGCCCCAAAAGTCGTTGCGCAGAAGATGGGACAATGGACGAACTCCCGTCACATCGCCATTTGCCAAGATGGCGCGCCTGCAAAGAATACAGAGAAAATCATCATTAAATTACACGGAAAAAACAATTAAGTTTGATATCATAGTCTAAATAAAATTCCACGATTACAATTCTAAATTCTTGTACCAATGATTAAGATCTATAAAAAACATCCATTGTTTAAGTTTTTATTAAAACATTAAAATCTTACTGTAAAATTTTTTTTTTGTGCAATAGTAAGACTACAAATCTAAGATTGTATTTAAATTTTTGCCTAATTAATTTTTGGCATACAAATCTTTACACCGCAAACTATTTTTAAATCAACTTATAATTATAATTAAATGTGCCTATTAATGAGCTATATTTAATGTTGATTCTAGGCGGTCGTTAATGTTTGAATTGTGTCCACAGCTCACATTACCTCGGTTGAGAACGGGCAAACAACCTGTGGCCCACCTGTCCAATTAATTAAAATGATTAATTGTCCTGGCAGGACCTGCTCTATCTCTCCATTTCTCGCACCTCTCACACCCATCTGCAGTTGCCCAAAGTGGCCAGTGCCCCTCAACTTGACTCCTTTCGTCTCGACTTTCCTGCTACACGAAATCGGAGAGTCCTGAATTCTATGCGACCACTTGTGTTTGCGCCTCTTGTTCTATTTATTTTGCTTTTACTTAGATTGGATGAATTTTTAGGGTAGGATATGTTGATAATTTAACAGGTTATGTCTTATAAGGATGAATATAAGGTAAATACTTATTTAAAATAAATAAAACTAAAATTAATATAATTTTGCCATTAAAAGGGATTTTTTAACAAATATTTAATGCTTACATAGAAGTTTTTTTCAAGATTATTTAAATTAAATAAAATAAAAAAAAACAACGTTTTCGGTTGACTTGGACATCTGTTTATAATATAACATTATAAAAGTTATAATATAATAATATAAGTTTATAATATAAACTTTATAATTAAGCAAATAATTCCAGTTTTTCAAATAGGATATTAAGTAGTCGGCTGCATCTACTCTTAGCGATTTATTGTCTGCTTATTTTTATTGTCCCTTTGTTTTTGCACTTGGCATAAATATTGTTAAAGTGCCAAGCGACAGTTGACTCGCCAGGCCCGACCCCGCCCCCTTTTCAGCTGCCGCCCCCCCGTCCTTGCTGTGCACTTGCGGCTTGATTAATTGCCGATTTGTTGGCGTATTTTGTGCCATTGTTGTAAAACAGCACACACCGATATGGGGCATACTACTATATACACCTATATCTGTGTACAAACACCAACGTTGTCATTGTGTAGTGGACGGACCCACCCCTTGGTAATTGCCTCGCCGTTGTAGCGCTCCTTGTTGTCCTAATCGATTTGGCCGGCACAGTGGCTCCGGGTCAGGTAGCCATATAATCAGGGTTAGTTTGTTATCGGCGTTGTTGCCGCTTGCTGTTTGCGCAAATTTATAGAGGTCCCACAATAATACCTTAACCATTTTATGCATAATTAGTTTTTAGATGTACCCAGTAAATGCCATTAATTAACTTTTCAACTTTACGGAGGGTTTGCTTTGAGCAATGTTTTCAGGGGTGAATTTCGTCCCTAAAAGCAATTGCAGCAATATATCCATCAATGTCAACTGATTCGATGACTTAAATAACTTTGAGCATAAATAAATGGTGCAATGTTAATATATTTGTTTATTAATTACGGCCATTTAGCCTAAATGTTTAACGAAAAGATTTCAGAGGAAGCAAATTCTCTTTTTAACTATTTATCTAGCCTTCGTTTTAGTATTTGTTTTCCATAAATGATGTTTATTATTTACGATAAATATTTGTTGGTGTTTTCAATATTTGCTCCTTAATGCATGGCATATCCATTTAATATGTTTCACATATTGGTATAAAGAATTTATTTAAATTCGTTTGATAACGCCCACTTTAATTCGTGTTTTCCGAATGGGAATAAAGTATCGTTTGATTTTAAAATTGAAAATTAAATTGTTTCCTGTTAAATAATAAATTATATTTATTTTGGCTTTTTCCTGCCTTAGGCTGTGGTTTTAGGGTCTTTTGGGTTCTTTTATGCAAAAGTTCAAAGGTTGTGCCAACAAATACATATATTCGCTAAGGCCTGGTGGCAACTGTGGGGGAAAAGTCCAAAGAAAAGTCACGAGAAAACACACATAAGTTGGAAAGCATTTTGAATAAAAATTCGGTTTTCAATTTAATATTTTATTTATCATTCGAATATGAAAGCCGTGGGAATGGGTGACCGGAAATATGAATTGTGGCAAGGTTTATTGCATGTGTGTGTGTGTGCAGCTCTTTCAATGCCAGAATATGGTAATAAAAAGGATGTGGTGGTGGTGCAGGAAGATGGTGCCACAAATTGGGTTTACAAATTCGCCGGAGGGACGTGGCCAACTATAAAGCAGAGTTATTGGCAAGGACCTGCGTTTCGGTGTGGTGCCTTTGGTTGTGGGTGTGCAAGCCCACTCATCTACACTTCAATTTCAATTGGCATTCCGAAGTCTCCAGCCCCACCCCGTCCGTCCTCCACCCACAACCGATCCCTTTTAGTTTGCGCCAAAGCAGCCACAAAAATGTCGTCGAGAGCAAACAAATTCTTATCGGAAGAGCACAAAGCAAAAGCACAGGACGCAGATGAAGGAGCTGCTAAGTTGGGAAGTCCTTGCATGCAATGCACACTGGTGGGTATGAACATATAGTGGCGAAATGGTAATAAAGCTTAAACTTTTCTTAATACTATAAAATTTAATAAAAAAGATTAAATTTTTTTTGGTCGCTATTGATTGTGCGAAAAAACACACATAAATTTTAGCAATACATTTTTTTTAATTCTAATTCTTTTTTGGTTAGTTGCTTGTTAAATTAACTGAGCGGAAGTATTATATTGATTAAATGACTAATTTATCAAAACAACGTAAAGGTTATACAAAGATACCTATTTAACGATTTTAAATATGCAAATATAACTGTGCTCCTAATGTTGTGACAGCTGCTGTTTTTCGATGTGTGCCTGTGGGTAAATGCTGCTTCTATTTCGGGGCTGTGAGCGTTTCCCATCTTCAGCTTCCCATGGCATAAAATTGTTCTACGCCTCATTTGCAAGGCGATGCTAAGGTAACGTTCAAATATTGAAAAGAAATTTCATTGCATACCTCGGGGCGGATGCACACAAAGTCGTCTATTTGCGGGTGTACGGGGGCTGCGAGCTCGAGGAGATGGGCTTAATTCCCAACCCAACAAGTTACCTCGAAGTCAGCGTCAACATTATCGTCATCAGCAGTATTTCCGCAGTTCCCTTTTTTGTGCTTTATCATCGTAACTAGTGAATGAATAGCAATGGCAAGGCCAACAACCAAAACATCAACACCCACCAACAACAACAAAACAGGCACTTTGTCAGCGGCAGAGGAGGCGGAGGAGTTCAGGGGACGGGGCAATAGGCGGTAAAGGGGCGGGGTAGCGGGAGGAACAACAACAATGGCTGGCTTCAAGCAGCTTACAAGTGCGGCATGTTGCTGCCGTTATCGTTCGCTTTTCACTCTCAATTCGAGCAGGAGGCCACAGACAGGATCAAAATTTCGCAGGAAGGAGCAGAAGTAGGAGCAGCAAAGTCTCAGGCAATCGAGGAGGAACAGAACCACAACACACATGGTGCACAGTGGTATCAGTGGGTTAAGGATTGCATTAAACACATAAGTTAATAAAATATCCTCACTTTACCTAACAGTTTAGAATGCATTCATAAATTAATGTACCAAAAGTGTCTCTATATAACATGCATTTTAATATGAAAGCAACAGAAAAGTAACAATAATAAAATTTTAGACTTTAAAAAAGTGGTAATTATCACCTAAACTAACACAAAGTAAATAAAGTTAATTAATAAAAATAGTTGGGTATGGCATACAGAAAAGTAAAATGATCATGATAAATGATCATTTACATTATTCAATAAACTTAGTCTGAGAAACATATAATTTCGTATTAATACATATAAAATAATTTTACTGTGATACATTAGATAATCACTAAAATCTAGCAATATGGTGATTATCAAGTGAAATAAGTTTCTGTACATCTAATCTGTAAAGCTAAAGATTTCTTATTGAGTGCCCAAGTAAAATATGAGTTTAAGTAAACGAACTGAATTTTTTTTTCCTTTTTTTAACAATTATGGCATTTCTGAAATTTAACATTATTTTAACCCTCCTCTCCACTGTAGGGCTCACATCACCATCACACACACACTGGAGCACGGACAGCCAAACAGGACTGTGGTTGGCTTTTGTTGAAGACAATATATCATAGCATCAGCACCGAATGTGGACACCATTCTGGCCTTCCGTTCTGTGCCTCTGCCATGCCCCCCATTTCCCTCCCCCATTTTCCTGGCTACCCACAACATTTGTATTTGTTGCCGCCGCTGTGCTTATGTAAAGTGAAAATTTTCGATTTTTATATAGGTACAAGAAAAAAGAGCACAAAATTCTGTTACTCTTGTTGCAAACAAACACCCGCACACAGACCTCTTCTTTTTGCGAAGAGTGCCTAGCGTCCGGTGCTTGTGTGCCATCAAAATTACGTATACGTAACGTTGTTACTGCAGTTGTTGAGTTTTTACAGCCGGTGTTGCTGTTGTTGTTGTCGCTGTCCTTTTAATACGGCACATAAATTATTGTAAGACTGCAGATTGGAGGTTTTTTTTTTGTTTGGTTGGAAAAATGAAAATTTATCAAGTTGGAGGTGTGAATCGGATGACCAATAAAGGTAGGACTTTAAAAGGTGAAAAAGCTCTTTAAAAAGTTTGAGTACAAATATATTTTCATAATTTACAAGTAAGAAAATAAGCGACCAATCATATATAATTGTATCCCATTAGTTCAATTATTGGCAAACTTCTTGAGCACTACACTTTATCAAAAAGTTCCCAAGCATAACTTATTAAAATCTCATATCTCTCCTTAACAATTGCCAAAAGCAGAGTTTTTTCTATGTCAAAACCATCTTCCCCTTCGCCAAACCCATGCCATTGGTCTTTTTCCAGTTGATAGGAAACAAATTGAAGGGAATTCTGCCATTTAATAAATCATGTTATGTCTGGCCCGGCTTGACAATAATAACTTGTGCTCGTGTGGTCATAGTGGCTATGTTGTGGGATGACCGCAGGGCATTCGAAAGAGCCGGCCGATAGGTAGGCTACGACACTGAGAGAAAAGCTTACAACAAGGGTTTAGATATTTGGATTTAGTTAAACATGTCTTACAAATATAGTTCATCGCTATTTATATTTAAGTCAATTAGCTTTTTAATCGAATAAAGTTGTAATTGAGTAAGAAATGTATTTCTTTAATTGAAAGTAAGATAGATTTCTCTGTGGACCAAAAATTTTCAAAAAAATATGTGTCCTATGAATTCTACAATTAATTTTATTGTATTTTGATTAGATTGTAATATTGTCATATATATATGAAAAATTTGATAAGAAATTTTGTAATTTTTTTATAAGTTTTCTAATCTTTAACATGATGTTAAATAAACAAATATTTTTAAAGCAATCATCTCTCTTTTGATTGTCACCAAATGTTCTTTTCACCCATAATTTTTTGCTCTGCCTAGGTCCAAAGTTCGGCTTCAACTGGTGTTGGCAACTGCGTGAAAGTGACCGCAGGACCTTCCGCCCAGGGCAAAAAACATAAACTCGCACACAAACTTTCCGTGCGGCAAAAAGGGGAAGCTGAGTTACATAAGTTGCGTTTATTATTTCTGCAAATGTGTATGTGTGCGGCGGTAAGTTTTGCGTTTGTTTTCTGGACAGCACAAAATAACGAGCTACATCGAGCTGAGCACTTTGTGCATAACTTGCCCAGCCCATTCCCATTCCCATACCCCAGCATGTCCTCCAGGACAATTGTTCGCTGGCATTGTAGTTGAACCGGGAGCAGAACAGGAGTCACTTGTTTGCCGGAATGGTCAGAAAGCTCACCGGCTTGACTCCTGACTGCAGACCTAGACCATTGTGTTTCTGGGGGAGAGGGGTTGAGGGGTTGAGCGGTTGAGGAGTTGGGCTAGGCGAGTCCTTGGGGAAATTCCTGTCCATTGTACATGACTTTTGATATTTATGGGTAATTTCGTTTGCGTTTGCAGCATTTCAATGCGGCCAGGTGAGGAGAAGACCAAGGGGCATAAATCAACATTTTGTTTTTTAATTTGCTCGCCGATGCCGTCTGACTCTGACAATGGCCCCCCGCAAATATATCAACAACACGTATATATATATGGTATATACCTATATACCCAGGCGATAAGCCGGCAACACTGGTCTTCTTCAAGTTTTACAATTAGGCGGGCCGAGAATTTATGATGGCGATTTTATCAAATAAATGGCGGCACTTGGCGCACAATTAATAATAAACTTTTGTATTTTTCGTCTGCCCTTTTTTTACGGCTCTTTTGCGTTTTGGCGACAAAACGTTGCTCTTGGCGAAAAAGCCAAAGGACCAGGGACCAGGAACCAGAGACACCCAAAACCAAACCATTTACCTTCGTCAACCTGCTGACATATGAAATTTTTAATTCGCTTAAATTTTTCTCACCTGTCATCGTAGACAAATCCAGCGTTAAGTGTGTTTAGGTACAGGACAAAAGCCAGCGCCGAGCAGCCGGCGAGTCCTGCGAAGTCCTTGGTGCACGACATGCTGCAAGAGGGAGCAAAAGACAGATAGACAGTCAGACTTACAGACAAACAGTCAGAATATAAATATAAAAGTCGAGTGTCATAAAATATATGGTGAAATTCATTCTCGAAGCCTCCTGCAGCAACAGCAACAGAAACAGAAACGGCAACAGCAACAGCAAGAACAAAGCACTTAATCCTGACTGAGGCAGGTCCTCCGACTCGTCCAGATGGGCCATTCTCTGCGGCATTTTCGTTATGACAACATTTACATATTTTCCTTTTTTATCCAGCTTGTGCTGTTGCCGTTGCTGATGGCCTTAAGCACGATTTAATTACTTAATTTTTTGTTAGCAAATTCAAGGTGAGGTGGGCAAGGCGGCAAGGAATTTCAAATTGTGTAAATACATTTAAAAGGAAATATTTCTGTTGTATTTATTTTCGCTGGCATTTAAGAAATTTTATGTTTAACGTTTGCACATTTCAAAAGCTCTTGCTTGAAATATGTTCTTGGAAATTGTTTTATAAATTTGAATGACTTAAAGAATTTATTTAATTAGGAACTCAGCCTCACATGACACATAACAGCTCCTCTCAAATGCATTTTTGGACTAAAATGCTATTTCAACACTTTTTAAGGCATTCATAAATAGAGTTTAATTCTTTAACATAGAAAAAATTAGAAGTTGAGCACAGAATGTTTATTTTATAGATTATAGGAATAACAAATGGTCACATTTTAACTTACACAATAAGATAATCATTTTTGTAGAATGAAGCCTAATATGCTAATATTTCTATGTGATAAGTACATCAAAAAATCATATCAGCTTATTAAAAAATAATTACCCATATAGGCAAATCCTTTGCCTAAAAACCCGTCTATTTTTGGCCATCAAATCCCCCTAAATAATTTGAGTACCCCTGCACAATCAGCAATCAAAACTGTTGAATGCAAACAAACCCCAACGCACGTGCCTAATGATTATTGCCGCAGTGGAGTGAAATCGGTGGAATGGTTTCAAATGGAATGGCTTCGGACTGGACAAGTGTGGCCATCATCATCGTTCCCATCGTCATCATTATCATCATCATTGTTGTAGTTTTGGCTGTGGTCAGCGTGTCTGTTCTGGCTCAACTCGTTTGTCAATGCATTCTTCGCTTTATATTAGCCGCAGACATGTTGTGTCTACGTGGCAGCCTGTCTATAGAACCGAGCCCCTATCCCAAAAACCCCCATCCCGTTGACGGAAATTAAATGTTACGACGACATTCTGGATCGTCCTGCCAAGCGAAACACGGAACATGCAATACGGGAATACAAGCTCTGAAATGCAGAATACGGCAATGGCATTCCCATTGTGATGGGATTCCCTACACTGATAAAAAAAGGATTAGGAAAAATACAAATCTGGTTATTAAATTCGACATTTTATGTTGCATATTAAAAAAAATATATATATATATTAATCATAATGTTAAATACAATCCATATTAAATTGCAAGATTTGATTTTAAAATGTTTTAATTAATGAGAAAAAAATTTGCTGCTTTTTTTTATCAGTGTACCCCTTCGCTGCCCCTCTGTTTTTGTGGTGGTGGGAGTGGCGGTGTTGTTGTCATCATCACCATCAGCGCCATTACGAATAATGAGTGTGGTCGGTGGGTGGTTCACTGGGTGGCTGGACTTTTGGACCCACAACGGCGGCTGCTGAACAGTCATGCCTTGGTCATCGCACGAAAATTGTTATCTCGCACATTGCAGACAATTTCCGGCAGGAATTTGGCCCACGTATGTACACTGCGACTGCGACTGCGACTGCTTCTCTGATCCAGAATCGAATTCGGATTTGCATTCACATTCAGATACGGTTGAAGGTTGTGGGGAGGCAATGGGATAACAGGAATTAAGTTCGCACCGTTTGCAAATGACAATGGCATTCAAGGCACTCAGCAAAAATTGGCTTTCTAAGATATCACAATCAAAAGCATGACTTTACTGATTTTTATTACTATAACATAAAAGTAACTGGAACTTCTTGATTTTAAATATATTGTTGAATAAAAGCTTGTTTCTGAGACTTCCTCACATATTTATTTAAAAAAAACCTATAAAATTAAGTTTTTCTTGAAAATCAATTAAAGGCAAAAGGGTTTCCCTCAGTAAAAATTTCCCTGTTAGTGCTTCGCGGCAATTTTGTTTGCTTTTCCAGTTCGTAGCCGCGGATTTTCCTCAGCTACAACACCTGTAAATATTTTCTACAATCGATCGTTTGCTGATGTATTCATTAAGCCCTACCATAAATGGGACAATACTTTTAGCCAAAAGCCATTCTAAGCAGCTCAGAATTATTATCTGTAATTATAAATTTCAAGTTTCTAAAGAAAAAAAAGTGATCCAGCTAGGCTTAATAACAAGCTTCTGTTAAATCATGTTCCATGTCAGCAATTTTGATTATATTCAACATTCCTTTAGAACGTAGAACGCCGTAGCTGAAGGATTTTAAGCCCACAGACATCGAAACTTAAGCTAACACACACAGTTCCTTTGAAGGAGCAACCAATACCCATATATGGTTTCCTCTTTTCGCTTCGCAATGACACTGCTAATGAGCTCTAATAACGATAATGATGGCCACACAAATAGTATATATGAATACCCAGGGTCATATATGGAATACGTTTAAATATACTTATATTATGTGTATGTGGAAGGGTCGGATGAATGGCAGTCATTTGCCGGGGATGTGATGATAATGGGCTCGGGCCCAGGGGATGCAACTGATTGGCATTGTCGAGGATGAAAGCGCTAGTTTGTCGGAATATGCCTCTTAAATATAATGATTTTCCCAAAAATATCAAAGTGATTTTCGACGAAAATAGCTGAATGTCTATGCAAACTCATGAGTATGTTGCGTCATAAATAGGAATGACCTAAATATAAAGGTATCCAAAATAAATAATTCAAGGCAGCTTAAACCAATAACCTGCAGAATAAACATAATTAATAGTTCTGCTTTCAAGGAGTTTAAATCTATTTGTGCTGCACTTAATATTTCTTATTTGGAAGATAATTTATGTCATGTTTTTAGTGCAGTAATTAATGATCTTAAATTGCATGCCATTATTATTATCATTTCCATTAATTCTCGATATTTTTCACCTAAACATTAAGACTCGAATGCGATTATTAGAGAACTAAAAAAAAAACGTTGCTATATTCGTAGCCACGTACACATCTGAACCACAAAAGAACAAATTAATTGAATCAATTTGAACATAATCCAAATCAAATTAAACATATATCCGCTGCACAGACGTCGGCTTACTTTGTGCCCACGCCCTAATGACATCCCATAAATCCCGTAATTCTCCCACCGCTACTTTAAATAACCGTTTTAATTATATTTATTGATTTTTGCATTTTAAGCTTTGCGTTCGATGTCCCTGCAGTCAGAGCTACAGGCTGTGTATTATTCGTTGGGTCTCTTTCGATATTCCGCGGTAAACTTAACCCTGGCAAACGCCGCCAGGTGTTGGGCGAAATTTGAGGACAAAGCGCAGACAGGACCTTCTCAAGCAGTCCAATTAATTTCGATTGTCGAAAATAAAGCGAGACAATCAGAGGACGACGAGCGCGCAAGTATATATTAATCAAATGGCGCCAAAGACAGAAGACAGCCGGAGGGAAAAGCGGGAAAAGCGGGAAAAGCGAAAATAGCGAGGACATCGAGCACCCTCCAGACGTGTCCTGTCTGCTGACATGAAGAGGCCTCAAGGTCCTGACGAAAGGCTCCTCAGCTGGCGTCGTGAATTACTTTGCTAATTTTCCTGCGCCAGACGCGAGCCATCTGTCCTTGTATCTACAAAGATATCGTGGCTGTGTATTTATACCCTTTAATTGTACAATAAAAAGGTGTATTGAGTAGGCCACAGAAATAACCAACATTTTAAAATGACTTTAAAAGGTGAAGTGAATCCCTTGAACTTTTGGACTTTGAATATATTGTTGCATACTTTTAGACAAATGATTCTGGTTTTCAATATATTGCTTAAGAAACTTTTAAAGTTATAGCAAAACACAAAGAGTCAAATTATTAATAATAAAATTGGTTTTAAATTACAGAAAAATCTTAAGCATTCTGTATTTCAATGCGCATTATCATTCTATGTTTCTTTCATAGTAATTTGGAAACAAAGGGAACTATGGGAAATAACAATTATTGATTTTATGTAATTAAAGATAACATAATTAAAATATTCTTTGCTTAAAACAGAGAATTTTATAGTTGGTTCATACTGCATTTTCGGGTGGTATACGGGTAAGGACGCGCTCGAAAAGTCAAAGTGCAATTAGCAAGCTGCTGCCGTCTTTCGCTGGATCCCTTTTTTTGTTTATCAGTGCAAATATTTATTTTCAATTTCGTATGCAAATGTCGCAGTCGAGCTTCCTACATTAATCACAGCTGCACAGTCAGTGGTGCCGTCGAGTGCCGAGTGGGTGGAACGGAAAAAATAATTAGGTTGTCATGTTTACGGCGCTGAAATTAGCTTGGCAGTATCGGAATGGCACATCTTTGATGTTGATCTCTCGCGCAAGGCAAAAGAATTTGCAAAAGGCGGAAATTTCCATGACTTTTCACTTTTTTTCTCCGCTCTTGTATATACATATACTTATACAGCTTAAGAGCTGACCTTATTTCTGGCTTCGGCTGGGGACCAGACGGAAATTGCAGCAAATACGAGAGTACGGGTACAAGCGCAAGTACACCTTAAAGCGGAAGCGGAAACATTATTCCCAAAATGTCAAAAAACATAACAGAAACCCATTAGACACACTTTGTTTCTGGGTCAGCCGGCAGACGTCCAAGTTCCAAAAGTGAAAACCCAGGCGGGGAAAAAGTAAGGTCGAAATTGTCTAAAAACAAAACGAGTTGGATGGGTGGGCGGATGTACGGATGTACGGAAACTGACCAGGCCACTCGCTTTTTCCCCCCAAAAGACCGGGTCGCTCGGAAATCA